TCCCGGAAGGGGACGAAAACCTGGAAATTGCAGCAGATGCGTCGGACTATGCCGTAGGTGCGGTTCTCATGCAGAATGGCCATCCTTTGGCATTTTTTAGTAAAACTTTAAATTCTACGCAAAGGAATTATACAGCTACAGAGAGAGAAACATTAGCCGTATTAATGGCTGTACAGAAATTTCGAGTTTATTTCGGCAAAGCGCCAGTAACAGTCTTTTCGGATCATGCGGCTGTTGGTAGACTTTACTCGGGGAAAAACCTAACGCCCAGGTTAATAAGATGGGCTTTAAAACTTCAAGAATATAATCTAATAATTAAATATAAACCAGGGAAATGAATAATGTAGCTGACGCACTATCCCGAATAAAACTGGACGATGAAGGGAATGAACTCAAATGCGCTGTGTTGACTTCTAAAATTTTAGATTCTAGAGAAACAATTATTGCTGAATTGAAAGCTGATCCTGAATTTGGAAGTATTTATGCTTATTTAAAAGACCCCGAAATCTTTGAACATACAGATGTCGCCGCAAGCAATAAGAAGTAGAGCAGAAAACTATGAAATAATAGATAATTTATTGTTTTATACGAAATCAACAAACGAAAATTTTGAGTATAGACCAGTCATCCCAGCCTCTCTTCGATTGAGCATTTTGAAGGAATTACACGACGCGCCAAACATCGGGTCATTTAGGGGTCAGAAAGACTATAAAAAGGGTACGCGAGGCGGTATATTTCCCGCAATTATACAAAATAGTAACTGCGTATGTCAGGTCCTGCAATCAATGTCAATTAATAAATGATATTAATTACAGCCCGGCCGGGTACTTAAATAGCATTCGCGCTACATTTCCGAATGAAATTTTAGGCATAGATCTTCTTGGTCCTTTTCCCCAGAGTGAGTTAAATAAAAATCGTTTTCTTTTAGTAATTGTAGATCATTTTTCAAAGTGGACAGAAATTGTTGCACTTAAACGCGCGTCAGCCAAAACAGTTGCAGATGCATTCTTACACAGGTACATTTTAAAATACGGTGCACCGATAAAAGTCATTAGCGATAACGGTAAACAATTCGTTAGCCAAATTTTTGAAAACATTTGCTCTGGACTTGGCATACGCCATATCAAAATGGTTCCGTATAGACCACAGGCAAACATCGCAGAAAGAGTTAATAAAAAATATTGTAAAAATAATTCGAAGCTATGTTAACACACATCACAAGCGCTGGGATGGCTACATAAATGAGTTAGCTTATGCTTTAAGAACAGCAAATCATGATACTACTGGAAAAACTCCAGCAGAATTATTTTTAGGACGTAAGTTAATTACGCCACTAGATAAATTATTCTTTGTGCAACAAAGGGAAGAAGAATTCAAACAAAAAGATATACAGAAACTTATTGATCAGGCGGTTAAAAGTTCGGATACGGCAAGAAATAGACAGAAACTTTACTATGATCGAAAACGCCGTGAAGCAGATTTTAAAGTAGGTGATAAAGTGTTAAAGCGGAAATTTTCTTTATCAAGTGCCCCAGATAATTTCACTGCAAAATTGGCTCCAAAGTTTGAAGGCCCCTATGTAATACAGGAAATCAAAGGAGTCGTATTGTACCTTAAGAACGAGAGAGGGGAAACTTGTAAAGCAAGTCCCGACCAGGTGAAAAAATATTATAATCAAAATGATTTTGAAATCCTTAAAAGTTTCTTGCAGGACTCAAGCGCAAAAGAAGTGGAAATTCCAGAATTAACGCCCCCCCGCTCCACCACCCAAGAAGCAGAGAACAGAAGAGGAACCTAGCCCTTCTACAAGTCATTCTAGGGTCCCGAAAAGAAGGAAGGAAAATGGTCACACTCCAGCATTCAAGAAGTGCAGGAAATCAACGCCGCCTCGTAAAGAATCTTTGGTAAATAGGAAAAGACCAGTTACAACTTCCCACAGTAGAAAATCTGCGTCGAGGAAAAACACTTCCAGGGCCAGATAGTCAGGAGCAAACAAGGCCGCCGTTCACGAGAAGAAAAAGACAGAAGGAGGAAAGAAAAGATTGGCACCAGCAGAAAAAATTCAAGCAAGAATCCAGACCGGAGGCCGCCAAGACCAGCCGTCCAGGGGCCAAACGGAAAAGACAGGAACCCGAAGACTACCACCCCAAGAGGCCGGCGTACAGAGGGCGAAAAAGGAACGTCACCATGGAGGAAACTCGAAGAACCAAAAGCGGAGATTAACTTCCATGAACTCTGTAACTTGGGATCAATTTTGCCAGAAGAGGATGTCGGAGTTCCAAGCATCGAAAACTCAAAGATAAGTTAAAATCTTCTATAAATTTTTCTTTTGTTCTGAAATGTTATGTGTAAATACGAAGTTCTATGTGTTGACGGAAGTCAATTTGTCTCGGTTGAGACTTAGTTTTGTTTTACTTTATTTAGCTAAGGCAAAAGCATTATTTTCTTTAAGTGTAAAATCTAAGAGCAAGCAGTTCGAGTTGGTCGAAAGACTGGTTCTGTTATGTTAAAGCCAAAATTTGGCCGAAAGTAAAATAACTTCGTATTCTTGTATTAATGGAATATTTAGTTTCAGTGCCGCCAGCTTGGCGAAGAAAGCGTGAAGTAAAATTTTATTTTTATCTTATTCATCTTATTGTAAATTGTAAAAATCATATGTATTAGAATTTTGTAAATATAGGTAAATACTTGAAAGTTATGTAAAAGTAGAATTTAGTCTAGAAGCATAAAATTTTAGATGCTAAAAGTAAATGCTCAAAAGAAACGAGTTCAAATCTAAGTATTAAACAGTAGATAAAATCATGCTTTAGAGCGAAAGCCTGCATGTCTAAAGATGAATGAGGGGGAATTTAGAATGAATGTGTTTTGTAGGGTTCTCCACCTACACTTGAATTTTAAGAATATTAAACATAGCTCATCGAGTTTCAGTATGTTCGATTAAGGTGTGTCATATTTGGTCGTTGAATTCTAACAAATCATTGTGGTTAGGGGAAGTGTTGTAATACAAAAACACGAAGATTCCCGTTTGACACCACACATGGTGGAGAACCAGGGTAAAGTTAATTTCATGTTTGAATATTTGAATGAATGTGAATGTAAGCAGTTAAATAAGGAAAAGAAAAGGATCGAAAACGAAAATGTATCGTGTGTTAAGAAAGTGTAAATCATAATGTATTTCGAATATACTGATACTTATTCCTTCCAGATGCTGGAAGGAAGAGAAAAAGATTGATTGACGAAGACCAAAGGATCCTGTAAGAAGATATGGTATTTTAATCATCTACAGAAACGATTGTAATGTTTTAGGTAAAAGTTTGTTTTGTAAAACGGAGCTCTTGAGTTTTAGGTCAGAATATGGAAACTTTACCACAGGTCGTTTCTAGGACCTGCTTCCAAGTTTACCAAATTCTGGCAGCGGCAAATGTAGGGTTTATATTTATTTTAACTAACATTTATTTTAAGTTTAAGCTATCTTTCCTGTCAAGCCTTTACTTTCCCTAGAATTGCCAATGCCAGAGTATGTAAATTGTAGTAGAACGCGCAGTATATTCAAATTTTAGCAGAAGTAAGTTGAGTTTAAATAGAAGGGAAACGAGATTGTATGTGTGCTTCTTGAATCGTGAACGTGAAGGTTGCTAGGTAGAAATTTAAGAACTGCGCGATTCGGCCTGTGTGCCTATCTCGGCAGTTCGTTGAATCTTTCAACTTCTTAATCAGTAAGCTTGCTGAATCTCAGCTGTATTTTAGAACGCGGTTAAGTTAGTTACGATTTTAGAGCCTCGTAGGTAGTGATCTAGTTGTTTATTCATCGTGTCATTAATTTTTAGTTTCACAGTTCTGTTTTTGTTAAACCGCCGGGTCGGCGTAGTTTGTGAGCGTCAAGTGAACGCAGCTGTTATTTCTAAAGTGGAATAAAAAGGGATTTAAACCCTTCTTACGAGTTTGTGTAATTTACAGTTCATAGCAGGCACTACCAATGTTGCTGACAAGTTGGGGGGCCTAGCAACACTATAACATAATCTTTATTTTTCTTACACATATATCATTCGATGGTTGTGAATCATGACTTTCATTATTATCTTTCTATTAATTTTATTTTCAAAATTATATAAAGGGAGTTTAAAATTTTTTAAGGAGAATTTATACAAATATTTTGTAATATGTTTATAGATACTGACATGCATTGAGAAGGACAGGGGCTTTTAGATATTTTTCAAATTTTATTAACTTTATTCGCATTGAATTTTATTTAAAATTACTCTAATTGCTAATTATGTACTTCAGCTGGTTTATGTTTTTAATTACTAATTTTTATGGAAATTTGATCTACAGGTCTATTTATGTGCATTGTTTTTTATAGAGATTTTGTATATGGATACCCGTTCTATGTACTATTCTATGTATGGCTACTCCGCTACAGTATAATTCTATTGGTTTTGTTTATGGATTTTTGTCTACTGTTTTGTGCAGCGATTTTGCCAAGAGGTACTTTTTATTGGTATGTAGATGTTTGTGTACTGGTTTTTACAGGGATTTGGCCTATGGGTACCTATATAGGTGTACGGGTTTTTGTCTACTGGTTTTTATGAGGAATAGACCTACGAAATATCCCGTTTTCTTTTAATGGGGATATAGCCTATGGATACGCGTAAAGTTCTGATTTCTGGCTATGGGTTTTTACTGGGATTTCGTTTATGGTGCCTACAGTTCTACAGGTTTCTATGGGTTTTTACGGAGATTTGGCCTACTCGTATCCGTACAGTTGTACGGGTTTCTGTTTATGGGTTTTTACGGGGATTTGGCCTACGGGTACCCGTACAGTTGTGCGGGTTTCTTTCTATGGGTTTTTACGGGGATTTGGCCTATGGGTACCCTTGCAGTTGTATGGGTTTCTGTATGTGGGTTTTTACGGGCCATTTTTAGCAGGGTACATGCTGTAAAAATTATATTTGTAATTGTATATTATACTTTGCAAAGCCCTAAAAATTTTTAGAACTTACTTTGACCAGGTAATGATTCCACCACAACTAACATAACACCATTAGAGTTTCTTTGTCGATGCTTCGAGGAAAAGCCTGGGTACATAAGACCAATTTCTGAGCACCTCCAGTATTCCATGGCTTTTAATCGTAATCCTACTCCATCAGCGAGTATCAGTCCTTCGTCATCGTGATCGTTTCTAAAAAATCAGCAAAATATCAGAAACAGACAATATTGTCAAATTATTTTTTTCTGATTGCAAAAACTGTACAATGAATATATAATTACACAAACATTTTGACTTCATAACAATGTGACAGTTGCATAACATATGTGAATTTCCCTCAGTATATAGCAAAGCAAGAGTTCAACATAGTACATACATATGCAAGAGCACATCTTCCAGAATATAGATGTTGGTATATGTATGAGGGTCTGTATTTGATTTGAGTTCAAAAGTCTTCAAACATGGTGCCGTCAACTTTATGTAACAAATGTTTTAGCTTGTTTTTATGTTTATGATTTAATTTAATAATAGAAATGCCAAAAATTTAAATTACGAATCTTTCATGCAAAATCATTTCTCCAATGTGCCAAAACCTTGAATTTGGATTACAGAATGGAGTCAAGCATTCAATAATGTTACCATTAATTGTATTTTGCATTTTTAATCTTAAATTCCAGTAAAATGTATCCGATTCCATGCAGGAGCAAAAACGGTTTATTTAAAGTTTTCATATTTTTAGAGATCCATGGGTACAGCTGGAAAGCTTCTACAATAAAGTGTCTTTTGTCACTTTCGTTTTTCGTTGCAGAAAACATTGTTTCTTAACAAAGTGGTGATTAGTCTAATTCTCGTAACAAAAGATTCATTACTTTTAAACCTGAAGCTGCACGCTACCTAACTGATAAGAAACAGAAATCGACATATTATAACTCTCTTCATATTAAAAATCTAGCATCTTCCAATTTTCAATAGCACATACCCATTCCAACATTCTATAGCACTGTTCATAAGAATAATCTAGTGTAAAAACTTTTGTTTCTGAGGTGAAATAATTTAATAAAACTATATAATTTAATGTGATAGATTTAATTCATGTATTAAAAATAATTAATAAATTTTAATGTAATAATTGAAATAATTAACTGAAGCACCAGCTGAGAAAAATCGAAAATTTAATTATATAAAAAAATTGGCCCGGTTTGCAGAGGCTTGTTATGACATATTTTTAAGCAAGCAGAGATAAGCAGAGCTTTAAGAGCTTCTTCTTGGTGAAATTGCTCTTCAAACACGATCATAATATTTTGACTATTTCATAAAAATACATTCATCAAGATCATTCCTTCATTTATATATATATATATATATATATATATGTAAGATATAACAAAATATGGAAGCTGTTTCAAAAAACTTATTGATGCCCTCAAAATTAACATTCTAAATTTGGTAATCTGCCCCTAAATTCATCTCTTCTCAGAGGTTCCAGATTTTTCAGTCTTACGTAACGTTTTAATGCAGATACCTCTTGTCCAATCAAATTCATTGTAAACCAAAACTCTAAACTGAAACTTTTTCGAGTCCCACCCTTCTTCCTCTGAAGTTCTATGATACTCTCCCTTTTTCCGCATAGCTCTTTTGCTGGCAAGACGCTTTTAAGCCATGCTGCTTCTGTTGCTGCTCACTTACTTAAGATGACGTTCTAATTCAAAATGCAATTTATGTATTCAAATATAATTAGGAAACATCTTGTCTGAAAAAGGATGATTTGATATGCGTGGAAAAAATAGATTGTGATTTTTCAAGATACGTTGTGCTAAATTGCGTCATCATGCTTTCCACTCTGCCACCTTCAAACCACTACGGTCTTCGCGGTCATCTACGCAATATTGAAAACTGTTAAAGTTCCAGTGCCTTCGTCTACGCATTTTTTAAAATCATCATACATATATATATATATATGTAAATGAAGCATTATATATATAAGTATATATATAACGCCATATATATGCATATTTATGTCAAATATCATAATAATTTCCATATTTTTCGCCTAGATTTCCAAGCATACGATTCAAAAATTTCTGATTTATGGTAATAATATAAAACGTATGCGCAAACAGGAAAGCATTTTGTGTAAGAAAAAGGAACATTTTTGAAATTGATAAGCCTTTCAAAATGCATACTACATGTAATAATATTACATGTAGTATGCATTTTATAATAAGCATTTATATATCTTTCTGTGCGCTTTCTGATGTGCTATGTCCATCATTTAAGCTGTTTCATTAGGAGAAGTACACTATGCGTAGTTTTTCCAGACGCTTTATAAGCGGTAAAATTATTAGGAAAAGAAAGAAATGTATATATATATATATATATATATCTACCGTATCGGGCGCAGCTCAGTGGTCTAAAAACCAACTGTAAATCGGTTAGGCGGGCTGGGCTGTGCCCAGATAATATTACCGTACTTTATGTATATACTATTTGTATCGTGATTTAGACCACTCCTCTGTAGTTTATTACAAATAGGAAGCATTAGGCAAACCTTATAAATAAATTACATTAAATGATATGAAAGAAAAAACTCTTAGACGATTCAATTTTCTCCAGAGGCGGGTTTTTTTTGGCAATGAATTGAAATATTTAATATCAAAATAATTAAAAAACCCTTTTTGAATTTTTATTACTTGCTAACAATTAAGTCTTTAGTTTTCTGTAGTCTACTTTCATTTAAATCAATCACTCCACGATTAAGTAAATTAACGGTGTAAAATGTGAAATTATTAATGAAATTAATGTAAAAGTTGTTAAGAAAACGCAAAGGTAAGAATAATTAATTAATTAGACTGAAAACATTATTCTAATCGAAGCCTGCTGGTCTCGTAAGTTTTACATGATTGTACATATTGATGGGCACCCAGAGAAAGTTTGACTTTGTGGCTTAGTAATGGGTTTAAAATCACTTTTATTAGGCTTTTAAACCAAGAGACAGATGATACCTCCGTTGTTTTAATCAACAGCAGTTTTTGTTTACAAGCATGTTTATTCTACAAGCAGCAGTTTTTGTTTAGCTTCCAAGTCCAAGCTTTTATTCTATAAATTAAAACTGTTTCGCTAGAAATTAGAGAGTATAAAGTTTTAAGCTAAGCTTAAGAAGTGTTTGAGATGATAACTTTTTCAAAACATTCTCCCATTTCGGCAAGTGGTTAGAATTCCGGGTATTATTACTCCCCAGTTTTCAAACGTCTTAATTTTCTCGATTGATTTCATATTGAGATCTTGATTTCATATTGGGAGGTTTTCTTCTTTCTTCATTATAAATAGTAGTGCGAATCCCTTTCTTGAATTTCTAGATTTCTAATTATCGTAGAAGACAGAACGCCTTATTTTAAAACATGTCTCCCATCTTTCTCGTTTATATTCTGAAAATTAATGTTAACTCCTTTTGCTAAATTTATAACACTTCATTTGCCAAGGGATTTTTCTTTCTTTCTTTAAGTATATTCGAAGTAGGTTTCTTTTAACAAAATTATTTAAAGCTGAATCTTTTCTGAACCTCGTTACTACTGTTTTCTTATTTCGAACTAAGAAAAAAAAATTAATTGATTTGCAGTTTCTGATGATATATGCTGCAAGTTAAATTTTCGGCTCTATTCTATTTTTAAAATTAACGAAGCTTAACTAAATTTTTGCCTATGCAGTCTGAAGTTAATATACCTAATGCATTTCTTCACATGCCTGATCTGTCTTTATTTATAAAGTATTTCTCCCGCCTTCCTAGCGTGCCTTCGTGGTATAGTGGTTCTGCACGCTGGGTCGGTATTCCAGAGGTCCGTGGTTCGATTCCCGGCGAAGGCGGTTGCTAATTTTTCATCTCTCCGGCCTCCAAAAAAATCCTAATGTCTCTACAGGGCGCCCGATCTAAAAGGGTGTTGAATGATAATTCTCCTCACCCAGGATTTGGAGATTGGGTTCCTTAAAAACCCCAGTCGCCCTTTAAAAGGGGGAGTATATAAGGTATTTTCTCTTGCCTTTCTAGCGTGCCTTCGTAGTGTAGTGGTTCTGCACGCTGGGTCGGTATTCCAGAGGTCAGTGGTTCGATTCCTGGCGAAGGCGGTTGCTAATTTTTCATCCCTCCGGCCTCCAAAAAATTCCTAAAGTCTCTACAAACTTAAAAAAATAAAAGATTTCTGAATCTATACATGAAACAACTGCTAACCGTTTCAATACTCGATTCTCAATAGGAAAATCTAAATTCGACCTGATATGAGTAATAAATACATTTAGAAATAGTTAGGAATAAGAAAGGGTCTAACCTTTAGCAAATTGGTTCGTAGTACTCAAAACTGCTACGCTGCTAATCCGAATTTTTAAACCTTTCATGTGAACTAAATTCTTAAAAAAATTTAAATTGTTAAAGTATTAAATAAAGATATTGCTTGGAAAACTTATATTTAATTCGCATTTGCTTTGACGAACAGATATCTAAAAATTATTAAACCACTCAGTACTCGATTACTTTGTTCACTATTATTTCTAGAAGAAATGAGTGAAATACCAGTTTTATAACATTAAATATCAAAGTAGAACTTCAGGTATCTGTAGTAGTATGAAAATTTCCTTTTCTGATAATAGGGTATGAGAATTTTAGACAATCCGTGTAAAATTTGTGATATTGTCAGCGATTATTTAGTACGTAATTCCCAGCCCTTCTGTTGTACAATTTCCAAAATTATTACACATTGTATAATACTGGTTATCTCTGCTTATATATTAGAAATTCCCTGCCCTGTAAGAACTAGATATATCTAGTACTATAAGAAGATCTAGTACGATCAGAAGTTGAAAAATTTTAAATAAATTACAAAGCAAGCTAAAGGAATTGCAAAGAATGAATAAAATATAAAAGTGCTCGACACAAAATATACAATACATAACACCCTTAAAGTATCTGATTACCTTCTAATCTTCAGTTTTGATGAAATATTTTAAAAGATTTTAATTTCTTTGTTTTAAATCTCATAAATTAAGCTTTCGAAAGCTACTTTTATTTTGTTTCTCTGGTCGTTAGAAGTAGAATTATGGCAGTTCATATTCTAATACGCCGTGAATTAGAAGTTTCTATTTAAGAAACCGGAAATTGATGTCTTAGGTACCTAGGCTGACTCTATAACTTTAAAATGAGAATTTTTGATTTGAAATATTTTGGTC